ATTTTATAAAGTACTTAAAGAAAAAAACACGTAATAATATTATGGAGAGTGATTCCAGATCAAAAAAAAATATTTACATTAGTATAGACAAAATGAATAGACAAATTTGGAAAATCTATCGAGAGAGCAACTTAGTAAATTATACCAAAAGATGTTCTAATTCAATTTATTTTAAATGAAAATCAATCACAAATTATTCAACAAAGACAAAAAAGTGTAAAAAGTTTCTCGGAAGCATCTTCTCACGCATAGTAATCATCTCATAGCCAACAAGCGCGAGTGGAATAATTGTTTTATTAACACGCCCCCAAGAAATTATTATTTTGTGAGAAGAAACCGGATTTTTTAGCTCCCTTTTGATTTTAAGCTGACGCGAACGCTTACCATATTTGTAGATTATGGTATATTGGCTCATATACCATAATGGCTAAGCCAATAAAAAGTCTTAAATTGCATTATCCAATGATCCAGTTTTTAATAAATTAGATTACCGTATAACCATTTGGTCTGATTATATAATTATACCATCCTGCCTTTGACTTCGAATATAAAAATTGTTCGGGGTCTCAATCAGCATCAGGCTCAAGTGTAAGATCATGTCCAACAACAGCTGAGCCAATCAAATACGCTGAACATGGTGCGATACAAAAAGACAGTGTACAGTGCACTGTAGGTGCAGATAGCATTAGTTGTCTGCCAAGCACCATTCTTTATAGTGAAAATTGTAATCGCTAACAGTAAAACATGTTCATCACACTTAATAGTCGTAATGGGAGTAACAGCTCTCTTAGTTGCCTCTTTAAACCCATGTCTTTACTGCTGGAAGATTAGTGAGGTAAGACGAGCAGTAAGACGAGTAGTAAGGCGAGCAGTAAGACGAGCAGCAGACAGTCAGACAAGCACTTTGCTTTCCACGAAGTTAAACCCTCCTCCTCGAGTTATATTTGTATAAGTAGTTTCAAAGCTGGGATTCATAACTTCACAATTAATAGAGAGAACGCTAGTCAAACATGTTATGAGATGGTAAGAAATAAGAAACTCAAATGTTGTTGTTCAAGGTTTTTACATAGTCTATTCTGAAAATTTACCCGTTAATTTATATCTTTTTTTTTTAAGGTTGATTTATGTCAATCATCAGACAATACTACTTATTTCTGTTACGCAAAGCCCTGTACGGCTCTCGCTTCAAATCGGGTAATCATTAAAATAAAATTGTGTGTTGTGTTCAATAAATTTTTACAACCACGTTTAATCTCCTTTTAGTACAGGTATTGGGTAAGACTTTAAAGAGTACTTTGAGAGAGTTTTTCGAGTTACTTCTTTGTTAAGATAAAACAATTTCAGTTATTTTTCTAACTTAAAGATAGCGCTTGGTATCGACGCCATAATGCCAAACAAGTTGCATTGGTCATCGTTTTATCTTGAATTTGTTTTGTTATCAGAAAAATGTCCATAATGCTTATGAATTAGGGACTTTAAGCAAACCACGACGGCTACGGCAACGAGAACGTGGAAAAACAATAGATTTAATTGGCAGAACAATAGCCTAGTACGTGCGTTTTGAAACTTTGTACATTTCTTAGCCGTCCTTTGCTAAACAACAACGTGAAATCACCAAAATTTGCGTCGTCTGCTAAGCGAGACCGCGGCGGCAAATTATTTTAATTTACATTTGGAACTGAACGCTACTTTTATGCGTTATGTTGAGTTTGAGGTCTGGCGCCCTATGAGACGGTAAACACATGCAGCCATTTTCAAAATTCTAACTAAAAGTAGAAACTCATTTTTCAATCGACGTCTTCCGTGGCGTTGCCGTCCTGACTGCTTAAAGTCCCTAACATGCAAAGGTCAACTGTCCCTAACTTCCCACTCATTTTTCTTTAAAGTCATTTTATGAAGGTTACTTTGAAGTTCGGAATTGATTACAATACAGGAAGAATACTTTTACATAATTTTTGGCCTCAGGAAATGCGGACAGTAAATCTCAATATATTGCTTGTTCCATCATTAGAAAAGTGACAAAAATAAAGTTTCCTTGTTAACAATGTAACTTCAAACGGTATTTTTACTAATGTGTTTGTGTTTGCTGAGGGATATGAGTTTAGTGCTATTTTTTACTTAAATTTAACTTTATTAACCGATATAAACAGCTAATAGCCGCCCACGTAGAATTGTCAAGTAGTTTAACCGTATTCACTGTTTGGAATACAAGAATTAAATAAATTTCGATTCCAGGTTGATGAATGAAATGATGGATTTAACGTTTAGTTGAGAACTTTTTTCATTTTCAGCTCATCGAGGCTGATAATAATTACTGTGTCAACTTCGCACAAATAAGATGGCACTTACTAAGCTCCCGATCAATTAAAGTTCATCCAAGTAAAGAGGGTTTGCTTGTCTCACTGAAAGAAAAATAATATCAAAGATGCCCATTATTGTTATTTCATACCTGATGTAATGACAAGTTCAAGGGATAAAATGACGTTTTTGACACAACAGACACTCTTCTGACGCCTTTTGAATGAGGAAGCCTTTTTGTGATTATGGCTGAAAAAAGGAACACTTCAGTGATCGTTTCTATGAGAAAAAACATCACTCATGAAACTCGCGTACAATTGCTCATCAGACCTGCGGCAAAGGAAACAAAAGCAGAATAATGGCGACAACAAATTACTCAGGAGGTGGAACACAAACGAAAACATATTTAGAACTGCTGGGCATCCCCATTTTGATGGATAGACGACAAAGACAATTGATTTCTTTCTCAGCAGTCCGAATTTCCTTTCCATCGCAGCATTTATTAGCAATTTTCTTATCCTTGTTGCCCTTGACAAGGAATTTTCCCTTCATCCGCCATCCAAACTCTTGTATCGCTTTCTGGCAACAACTGATCTGTTGGTTGGTTGGTTGGAAGATTAGAATTTGTTGGCGAAAGGAGGAGAACAAAGAGAGAATGACAGAAAAATGACCCGACTCCTGCACTTCAACGCAAACTCAACAGTAAACTACTGACACTCAAGAGGACGACCGCCATTGACAGCCAACGCCACTATCGACTAAGGTGCTCAGTACCACAGCCACCGAAACTCTACGGTTGCTGAAACTTCACAAACCTGGTTTCCCGATGCAACCTATTGTTTCTTTCTGTGGTTCTCCTACATACCAACTATCCAAGTATCTAACGACAATACTACAACCACTGACCGACAAATCCAGACGTAAACTACAGTCCACCGAGGATTTCATTAACGCTATCAAGACTGTACAGATACCTGACGATTACAAACTAATGTCATTTGATGTGAAATCGCTGTTTACAAGTATTCCACTTCGATTGGCACTACAATGTACTGAGACTGCAATCCGACAATCTACCGACTCACTACCACTACCAACAGACGACATTATGGGCTTACTGAACCTTTGCCTAACGCCAACGTACTTTCAGTGCAACAGTAAATGCTACAACTTGTTACACGGCACAGTGCGGTTTTCGGCTGTGGCTCGTGTAGAAGGACGAAAGGAATCGGGATTTGGAAGCTGCCTTTCCCGAGAAACGACGAGTACAAGAAGTGGAGACTGGAGTGGCTAAATGAGATAAAGAAGACTCGTGAAGTTGATAGCGATTTCCAGAAACAGATTGATGGTGACAGAGTTTATACATGCGAGAAGCACTTCGCTCCTGAGGACATAGAGATATGTAAGTAATGCCAAATGATAAACAAGCTGATCGTAACATGACAACATAGTGGGGTAGCTTGTTGTTCTTTTGGGCTTCATTCTAATGATCTTTCTTACTTTTCCAGTTCAAACGGCGAAAATGACAAAGAAGAAACCAATGTTTGGGGCTCTACCTGTTCGGAACATGCCAAAGAGAAGCCACGAAACGGACAAGACGACTCGAAGGCCGCCAAAAGTTGTAGTGACTGTCGAGGAGACTACTAGTTGTTCCAGATACTACAAGAATTTTAGAGACCTGTGTAAACGTGTCAAGTCCCTCAAAACTCTCAGTGAGTGGACTCAACAAGAACTCGAGGACAGGATTGTCTTAAAGAAAATTCTGCCTTCGTTACAGATTCCAGAGCTCGAAATAGTAATCGATGACAGCCTCGGTTTTACTATTCTTGTTTACGGATGGCTACTACCTGAAGACCATGAACTTTACACTAAAAACTTTAGGTCCATAAACAACATTACAGCATCGGACCTTGTGAAACATGTGGAACGTTGTTTGATTTGCCCTGGAGTAGAGACGAATGTATTTACTGGAAATGTGTTGCCCCATATAATTCCCAGGGTTGTGGATCCCTTGTCCATTGACAGAGAAGACAACAACTTGGATTCGTTTCCAAGCAAGCAATACTGGAGGTCTCGTGGTTGTTCTGTTCTGTGTCATGCTGATGAGCAGTATTGCAGCAGCTGTTCGCAATATCTCCATGCTAGTGACCTATCAAAGAAAGCAAAGCAACGAAAGCTAGCAGAACCTGCACACATCAAGGCTCCAGTGTCGAAAACTGCACCAGAGCGTATTAAACTGACCCTGCAGAATCAGAGGCTAAGATGTGCAGATCTTGAACGGCAACTGGACGAAATGAGAACTGAACTTACTAAATCAAGTGTAGAGGTTGACCCTGAGTTGAGTGATGATTTTGCCACTATTCTTGGGAAATCAGATGTTACTCCTTTTATGAATCTCTTTTGGCAACAACAGAAGAAATTGTTTTCGAGCAGCCCTACTGGTGTGAGGTATCATCCGATGATAATCCGCTACTGTTTATCTCTTGCTGCAAAGTCGCCATCCTGCTACGAAGAACTACGCAGAAGTAAAATCCTCGTTCTACCGAGCCAGCGTACCCTCAAGGACTACCGCAACTGTATCAGACCTACAAGGGGATTTAATGAGAATGTGATCGAGGAGCTGAAAGGCCAGACAGACTCCTACTTTGATGTTCAGCGGTATGTTGTGTTGTTATTTGACGAAATGAAGGTCATGTCCAATCTAGTGTTCGACAAAGTTACAGGAGAACTCATCGGTTATGTTGACCTTGGCGACCCAGATGTTAACTTTGGATTGTTAAAGAAAGTTGATGAGCTTGCAACACATGCTCTGGCTTTCCTCATCAGAGGGGTCTGCACACAGTTGAAGTTCAACCTTGCATACTTTGCTACTAATGGTGTTACAGCTGACCAGTTGATGCCACTCTTCTGGGAAGCTGTAGGCATACTGGAGATGACATGTAACCTGTGGGTGATTGGCACAACTTCTGATGGCGCATCTCCTAACAGAAGGTTCTATAGAATGCATGAAGATCTGGATGGCAATGCTGGGAAAGATGTTTGCTACCGTACGACCAACTTGTATGCTCCGCACAGATACATCTATTTCTTCTCAGATGCTCCTCATCTCATGAAGACCACAAGAAATTGNATTTCATGCCAGTCTGGGAATACACGCGGTCGAAAAGATAAGAACAGAGCATGGGATAACATTTCTAATGACCCTCTACCCAAAAGGGGTAAACAGTAATTATGTAGTTTTTCTAAAACCATGCAAGATATCATTACTATTGACACAAAATGCTTTACAAATATATAAATATGTATAGGTAATCGCATGATTTTGAGTGCAATTTTGAATAACTACGCGCAAGTAAATTTTTAACTAACAAAATTGCACGAGCGAGTGCAATTTGTAGACTTTGAAAAATTTACGAGTGCTTATTTATTCCAAATTGCACGAAAAAAACATGCGATTACTTGTTAATAATATACATACAAAAATTTAATTTCAACTTTCTGCACTCAATTTCAACTTTCTGCACTGTTTGGGATTATTTGACATGCTCTAAGCCAATTAGCATGCAGACATTTTTGCAGGTATATTATTAAGCCTGAAACAATAATTTTGCCTCAAAAATATTGCATTTTCATACTTGCATTAGCATTCAGTCTTAATTTGCAGTATTCAGTGGTTTGTTTAACTTGAATGGTCAATGCCTCTTTGTAATTGTTAAAGAAACAAGCATGCCAGTTGCATTATATGGTAGCAGTAATAACTGTTAAATATATATATATATTATTGAAGATTCAGAATAAAATATCCAAAGCTTGAAACCTGTGTTTGTCATATTAAATTATTTTGGTGCTTGATCAGTCCATAGTTATTGACTATGTTATACATCATGATAGGGTATTTACATTCAACACATGCCGTGTAAGATAACAGCAACTTTAACAATTCAATATTATTCAAAAATTTTAAAACTGATCTAAGGTTGTCTTTCTTTTCCACAATCGTTACTGGCTCTCGTGATTTCCTTGCGAAGTGCTTTAGCCTTAACTTGCTTTGCTTTCATTTTATGTTTCTGTATCACATCTTTGGCAAAAGAAAAGGAACGTACTCTCACAAATAAGCTAACAATATTTTGTAATACGTCCTTGCCAACATTCTTACAGATGACCAGTTCAGAATCAGACACCAATGTGTTGTATGCTGAAACTGTTGCAACATCATTAATAGACTTCATTATGATACTGTTGATGTCAATACTCTGTAAGCCAGACTTTGCTGTGGCAGCCCTAAAATAGTTTTCTGTTCTTAAAAATATTGTTTGAGCACTTTTTGTGATACTCCACAAACCCCCACGATTCAAACAGTTAATGAGTTTCTGAGTGTCTTTAACATTTTCAGCCTCATCTTTACATTTCCCAGCCTTCAGTAAAGAAATCGCTTGTTCACTTTCTGCTGATTTAGAGATCTTTGAATTGACATGCTTGTTATGTAACTTATGAAGCACATAACCTCCAAGGTATTGCAGCCCAGCCATTTCTTGCTCTAATAATGGAACATTTGTAGCTTCTAAATTAGGAGTACTCGTAGCAGCCTTCTCTTTACTGTATGATAACATACGATCAGCAACTTTGGTAGATAGCAGTGTAGCTGCATTTCGTGACAATCCCTCGAAATACTTCATGGCATTCAGTGGCACAGCTGAGTAGAACTTTGTGTAGAACTTTTCAGCATCTCCATTTTTAACTAAACCTTCATAAGTCTTTCGGAGTTCACAGAATTCCAATGTTTGTTCCCCAAGTTTTACAAAAACATACGATCTAAGCTCGTCCCTTAAGCCTTTTGGGAAAACCTTGTTATCAGCGAGTTTGAGCTTCACTTCGTCGACCATATTTGCCAAGATTTCAGCCGTAAAAGTCTCGCTTTTTTCTTCATCCTGTCTCGCAGAGTCTTCTTGGTGCTTTAGGGATGTGTGCCTTTTCAGACCTCCCTTGCTCTTGTACGTTTTCTTGCAAAGGTCGCAGATTAGTCGGCTGTTTTGGACCTATTCACGAAAGCACATATATTTCGAGATTAGAACTGACCCGCTTTATAAGTCCAAAGTTGCCCTTATAAAGAATTATCAAACACTGTTATATCTTACCTCATTTACTGCTTCACTAAATTGCTCTTGCACAACTTCTTCAGCCTCTAGTATATCAATAATGGCATCGAAATCGTCTCCGAATAAAAAGAGATCGTTCACGTCCGCCATGTTGTTTTGGAATGTGCACGGTCAATGTCACGTGACGGGCTAAAGCAACATAAACTCAGGCGCCTTTGTTCTCTCCTTTGTTCTTCGCCGAGCTTCATAACCAGTCCCCTCAATTAAACGAAACATGACGTAATTCAATCAACAGCGACCATACAGTATATAAAGGGCATGTCTGAGAACATTTCGCGCGTCCTTCAACCCTTCAATATCCGCGTCGCCCACAAACCCATCACTGCACTACATCATTTACTTACCAACGTTAAAGACAAGGACGAACCGAGGAACAGACCGGGAGCGATTTATAAGATAAATTGCTGTGACCGTTAAGCCTCCTACATTGCAGAGACCCGCAGAAACCTCGCAACAAGACTGACTGAACACAAACGGGCGACAAAGAAAGCTGATGTCAACGATCACACTGTTGAACATCATCGACTTGCGAACCACACTATTGACTGGGACTTTTCGCAATGCCTAACCTACACCATCAACTACTTTGAACGACTGACTCTGGAAAGCTGGTTTACTAACTTAGAACAGACTCCTCTCAACTAGTGTCAACTACCAATAGCACCATACAAACGACTCATTCACGACATTAACATTACAAACGAACCGAAGAGAACGATCTAACTTTACCAATGGATCGAAACAGACCAATCACGACCGACTTACGCCCCTTGAGTCTTACAGCCAATAATATCACGACAAACTGACCAACATTTTTCACAAACTGGACTAAGAAAATTCCACAGACGACAACTATTTACTTGACTCTGATGATGACTTCCGCAAAGGTTGTCGAAACGTCAGTCACCACCACCGACAACAGTCCTTCTCAGGACCTCACTCACCCGGACGATCGCACTACACTTTCACACTGAGGAAAATGGTTTTTTTCGAGTAATTTTTTGTTCTTATATCGTTTTGTTCTAGTTTTGTAGGAGACGAAACGGAGGTAAAAGAGCCACAAAATGTTACTAATTGTACAATTAAATTCAAATATTTAAAAAAAAGTTTACGTCTGTGGCCGTACATTAATTATAAATCATTATGCATTCGAATTCTTGGAGTGATTAACATGGGTTTGACATCCTTAGCTCCAACCTTCTTTATTTTTAGCTTGCTGAGGCTGATAACGACTCAAGCCTCAACTTTACACAAATGATATGGACAGCTGATTGATACCCTATTAATGCAACTAGGTCAACTTGCGAGCAGGTCCTCGTTATAAGCATTGCAGCACGTCGCTCCTTCGCCCACGAGTCGTGTTGCTCAAGGCCTCAAACTTATTCACGAGCCAAGTGACTCGTACTGAAACGTTGACCGTTAATGAATGCCTGCCCATGGGCTAAGTAGAGGGAGATTGTAGATCGCAACGTGAAAAAAAAAATGTTACAGGTGTCTTCATATATTTAATAATTTGGATATATCAACAAAGTTGAAATGGTAAATTGGCCACCGTAATGATTACAAAAGCTGACGTTTCGAGCGTTAGCCCTTCGT